GAGAATTTATCGAAAGTATACGTATGCTCGCCAACTGCCCTTCTGAACAATAGGAATGGTTTGATACGTGATAAGGGGTTGGTAAAATTTTGTGCTTCTAGAGCATGCAATGAAGTTCGTTTGAGCCTCATTCCATCAGGAATAAATTAATCGCTTAGTCTAAAGGCTTTTCCTCGTCCCGCGAGTAATTTGATGGGGAATTCCCCAATATGCGGATAAACTTGTGGAAGACGGTTGGTTTGCATGTTGGAAACCTCTTTCTGGCCATCCGTTACCGACCTTGTGTTGCCTGGGAAACGTCTCCCCTGCAAAACTGTTCATGATGACATCGAATCATTCCGTTCCACTTCGTGAGATGCACTGTTTCTTCAATTAGACATCTGTCTTTGCCAATTGGTTTATTTTCCAGTTGTCGCCCACAACAGACGGCAAATAGCAATATTACTGCAGTCTGTCTGTACATGGCGTCGCATAACGCTTTGTAAACTTCCTCGTGGCTGTATTGAGAACTAGCTAGGGAGGCACTGCGCTGGTAACCTTAGGTCACTCTAATTGTCTTTTGGAGGTAGTGAATGTTCCAGCTCTCACTTGGGGGTCCTCGAAGCTAGGTTCTGGGTCTAGTAGCCCCACCATGGTAACCGCCTCGACCGGTGGACTAAGCCAAGGGAGGACCTCCGGTGTTGCGTGTGTTCCCACACCTGGTAAAATTATCAGGCCTCACAGCCCTCTTTCACCCTTTCCCCTTCACGTACTTCACCCTTTCCATTTTCCCTCCAGCTTTTCATCCTCCGCTTTCAAAAGACCTACGGAGAGGGTGACATGCAACCCCATGGGCCGCCCAGGCTAACTTAGATCGTCCTCCTACTAAAAACCAAATTGTGACCCATTGTAGAGTTCGGCAGACAACTGAGATTTCCAAACAGCCCTAATTAGGGGCAGTACTGCTTGCCTCCTCGCGGAAGAAGGAACTAGAACAAATGGCCTAAACAGATGCTGTTTATCATATCATCTACAGTCGACTCGAGTTCGCAAATCGCAGAAACGCAGTCGAAACACACAAATGGAGCAACACCAGCATCCATAGCCCTCTCCCCATTCCCTTCTACCCCGCCAACCTTCCCATGTGAGCCCGCCCAGAGGAGCCATCTGGAAAACAGCTCCCCTTCAGAACTGCTCACGAATACATCGAAGGATTCCGCCCTATTTCGTGAAATGTACTGTTTCTACAAGTTGTAAACTCTCTTTGACGACTGATTTATCCTTCAATAGTGTTACGTCAATTGTTGCCCGGAACAGGCGGCAGAGAGCAACATTATTGCTTTAACTACCGTGCGCGCATCAACTTCTCACATGGCTTTGTATAACGCACTGGAAGTATCCAGTGCGTGGACGACAGCTACATAAATCACCTACTAACATTGTCCCTTTTGATGTCTGACATGAAATCTTACCAAAACTGGGTTTTGTTAAGGCTGCCTGGCAGCGGCTAATAGCCAGAAAGCATAATCACCAGCTCCCTTATCTCTGTCGGCACCACCTTATCTACATATACAGTTGAGTGAACTTGAAACCTGACTCGTGGCATCGCGGGCAAACAAAAATTACACGTAACATACTACTTACTATGTTGGAGTAAAAATTCCAGGAAACTGTTCTGCTGTCCATCGTCAACAGTCATTCAGTGGGGTTTGAGAAAGTGAAGGATAAGTTTGATTATCCAATCTCTTTCTACAAACCGATAATTAAGTGGTTCCTGCTGTCATCTTATAGAGATCATCCACCAGACACGGTTTAATAAAATCGAGACCGAATGTTCGCTTGGCAACTGTGTTCATTTGCATATTTTCAGTGACAACCTCACACTCGCCCATTTACAGGGACCATCTGGGAAGCAGCTCCGCATCAGAACTGCTCATTAACGCACTGTAAGTGCCCTGGCGTTTTCCGATTTGTGATTATCCATTGGTTGAGCTATAAGCGCCAGGTGGTTGCGTTAACTGACAAGTCATGCATGTATCTTGGCGGGCGAGACTACATTGGTGGTTCCACGACGCTGGCAAACGTCACATAGCACCTCGAGTTCCCGGCCACTTTCTCAAAAACTAACAGGAACAGCTTTTTGACGTCGTTCCCGTTTTGCGTACACTGAATAACAGTCAAGTCAGGTCAAGTTTTATTGAGGGAAATATAGGTAAATACCTTTGAACTCCCTATTGGTACAGGAGGTTTTATTGAGGGGAATATAGGTAAATACCTTTGAACTCCCTATTGGTACTGTTTTTTTCAATGCATTTGATCCGCAGAACATTTCAGAACAGTGGCGTTGCCAGTAATTTGAATTTGGGTAAGGGAGGGCCGACAGTGAAAAAAACTCCTTAGGCATTGTTCAGAG